AGCAAATTGTCTGTTCTCCTTACCCCAGTTCCCCAGCTCTGTTCCCATCCCCCCAATTTCCCAATTAAAAAAAAAATCTTAAAAAAAAAATTGGTGCTTTACAATTTTAAGTGTATTGATGTGTTGTTTCTGACACATGCTGTTTAAATGCAAGTTGGTGGACCCAAACTATCACTTTATAGATAAGCTATGGCATCAGGAGAAAATATTTTCTGCATACAAGCTGTGGCATTGGTAACTTTGTTAGCACCATTTGACTCTTTGCAATAAGATTCAAAATGGAATAATATCCTAAATGAATTTTCTCAACAGACATTTTGGTTTTTGTGTATTTGTGTACCTGAGTAAGAGTTGTGGTCCTGCAACAGTCCGATTCAGTGGCTCTTCTCAAGGCTGCTTATTAGAATCACTTTAGAATAGTGATTACAGATTTCAGACCAAGTACATCAGAATCTGTGATGGATGGATACAAGCATCTTTTTTTTTTCTTTCTAAGTTCCCCATGTGATTCCAATGTGTGGCAAGGTCATTGAGAATCACTGGTCTAATTAAAATTCTTTATATATGCCAATAAAAATTGTGTTTATTCCATACTAAGTGGCTATTTTCTGTACCTGGCAATATTAGTTTATGTCTCTAGTTGGAAACACAAAATTAAAATGTAAATTACCATAATGAAATTCTATGTATTAAGATGTACAGATCTGGAGAACCTATTAAAGTGATATTTATACTCGTATATGTAGTAGTGTTTAATATGTGTCAGTTGAAGAATTATAAATTTACTTTTGAGCTAGTTAACCAAAAATCAATCATTGTGCATTGAGTCATTTGAATCTTACTCATAATGTGGATCAAATTTTAAGAGAATGTTATATCAGAGAATATAGTCACTGGGTGCAGGCACACCTCCTTGTATTGCACATCCCTTTATTGTGCTTCACAGGTGTTGTGTTTTTTACAAATTGATTGCAAGACCCTCCACCAGAAAGCTGAACTGAAAACTAAAACAGTCTGAACCTTTGTCTAGATTACAGTCAATCTTTGATCATATGTTACAGCAGGAGTTGTCTGAGGGGTAAAGCCAGCCCTTTCCTGGAAATAGTTTTATTGGAATATAGCCATACTCATTCATTCCATTCATTGTCTGTGGCTGCTTTGCATTAAAGAGCATTGTGACAGAGACCATATAGCCTGCAAAACGTAAAAGTATTTACTGTCTGACCCTTGGTAGAAAGTTTGCCAGCTCCTGTGTTAGATGTTTTGTCACACATTGGATGATTGATTCCCACATGATTTGCTGACACTCCTAAATCCATCCTCTAAAGCTGCCTTTGGTCTTGCGTACACAGGTGACTGGAGATGTTTCTGTTTTTAGAGTTTTCAAATGGAGGTGGCAGTTGAAGGAAAGAAATTTGCCTTAGTAATGGAGGATGGGGATAGGGGAAGGAGAGGGGGCATGGTATTCTGCTAGCCCTCTGGTGCTCCTGCACCAGGGGGCCAGGAGCTTGTGTACTTACCTGGGGTGGGTGTCTCTTTGCCTGACAAACCCTCCGCTTTCCTGTGCATCACAGTCCTGGCTATTGCGCCCTCTGTCTTGGTGGGTGTGGAATAGCAGGTACCTGGAGAGCCTGGACCATGAGAAGCTTCTGCTGCAGTTACTGAAGATACAGACCATTTCCACACACGTTGCTAATAATAGATCTGCATGTGACAGCTTAAAGATTAGGAGTGGCTTAACCTTTAATCCTTCCTGGTCCAAGTGGAGAGCTCTAGGTGTGGAGGGCTAGTGGAGAGAGCACATCTGGCTCAACTCCCTTAGTCTCTGGTGCGGCATAGGATAGCTGGCTTACCTCTGAACTGTCAGCCACATCTCCACCCTGGGCACTTGGATGCTAGTAAAGGTCTCACCCACTAGCTGGGGTACTGACACCTGAAAAAGCCGTACCTGCAAATGCCGTAGAGATTTAAGAGTAGAAACATTTTTAGCTTTAGGAACATATAACTCCCCTTTCCAACATGTAAAGATGTTAATCAAGTTTTAGCTCTTTGATTTTCAGTTACATTTGTAGACAGGAATTGCATACAATAGCAAAGAAGTGCTTGTAAATGAGATTAAATGATGTTTTGGTAAACACTGGCAACATGACCATCACAGCCACAAGTTTGGAGTAGAAATTACAGTCTTGAGAAACATAATTGGGGTTTTTCTTATTTTGAGGGGGGATTAGGATGCTTGCTATAAACTTCATTAATAATGTCAAGTTATTTTTGTAAATCCAGGAATTTTATAATTTTTATAAAATATTTAAGATGGCTTCAGACCAAAACCTCTGAACTTATTTGAAATGCAGTGGTTTAGTTTATTCTGTTTGTGATTGAGGTCTAAATCTATTCCTGAATAACTGATGCTGGGTGCAGTAGTTATACTCTACCTTATTAAATAGATGTTTGCTAAAAGAAGAGTTCTTCTGGTTGTTGAATTTTCTTTTCCTGGGATACTGAGAAATAAGGGACCTGTATTTGGGAACAGCTCTCTAGATTGTAAATGCTCTAAGTGCTGTTAGTATTTGAAGACCCTGGCATTTGTTTTTCTAGTGTGATAAGGCAGTGAAGGCAGTAGAGTTAATGGAAGCAAGCTGAATTGCTTCCCAGAATAAATGGGTTAATAAAGATACCAATAATGATGAAATCTCTCTCATGAGATTTTATTAAGTACTTTACATTTTTACTTAGCTATGCTTATGGTATGTGATTTTGTAAGTGCACTCCCTTCCCCCACTAACTCTCATCCCTTCTTTATATACCAGATCAGTGACTATCATCTGTTTTACAAGATGAGTAACAGCCACCCTCTTCGCCCCTTTACTGCAGTAGGGGAAATTGATCATGTGCACATTTTGTCTGAACATGTTGGTGCCTTGCTGATTGGAGAAGAATATGGAGATGTCACATTTGTTGTGGAAAAGAAACGTTTTCCTGCCCACAGGGTAATTTTAGCAGCGAGGTGCCAATATTTTCGGTAAGTCTCTAATACTTTTCGAAGATTAAAGTCAATTGTAGAAAACATTAGTATTTTCTACTCTGTGAAAAATATGTAACCAAGCATAACAATAAATTAGTAATCCTTCAATTCAACATCTAAAAGAATTAAATCTTTGTAGACTTTCTTACGTTTTTCAAAATTGCCTTTTCAGGAGCCATCTTAGAATTATAAGATTAGAAGGCTCCCCAGGCAACACTGTACCCAGTCAACCGATTTTCAAGACCTCAGGACTATTTCTCAGGCTGATTCCTTTTTTGCCCTCACTTTCTCCTCACAGTTGAGGACTAATGGAACGTAAACTGATTAATGGCAGACAGGCTTCTTGTTGCATATAGACTTGCTAATGAACATGACGACCTCTTAGTTTCAGACTACTGAGATCTAGGACCTGTAGAAAGCCCAGCAGATCTATCTCTAAGACAAGAAGTTTGATAATCCCAAATTAAATGAAACTTAAGTGTTTACTGTTTCATAGTTATATTAGAACTAAAACTAAACAAAGTATTTATGTATTTAATTAATGTAAAAATATGTTGCTATTATTTGTTACTCAAACCCTTAATTTCCAGGGTTATACATGTTAAATTGAGTTCTAATTACTCTACATTTTACCTAATGTTAAAAGGGAATCATCACTGAATGATAATTTATCTTTGATACATCCATAGAGTCTATATCCAGAAAATCATGGATTTGCGTGGAAAACTTGATAATGGGAAAATTGAGATGCTGATGGCTTAGAGAAAATTTCAGTTACTTCTAGTGAAAACTGCAGTCTGAATTTTACAATCAGAATTAACTGACACAGTGAAACAGCAACACCTAGAGTCACACATTTTGTAGTAAAGTGTGTCTCTTGGCAATATTTACTAGAGCTAGAACTCTTCTAGTACTTTATAAACATTTTCAGAGCATTCCATGTATATATAAAATGCCACTGCAGATGAAGCTAGAGGCCTAGAAAAGAGAGGAATCTATTAAGAGTTCTAGCAAACACTCTCCTGTTCGTCTTGATAATGGTCAACCTACCCAGGCAGCTAGCCTTGGCCTAGTCGTTTATTATCAGCCTCTGCCCTCTGCACACTTTTCCATCTGTGTTTCTTTTCCTTTTCTTACTTTTCGTCCACTCATTATTATTAAAGTGTTATTTAAGAGTCCATTCTTTCTTAAGTCAGAGCTTTTTAGCTTTATGTTTAATATTTGTTAATCGTATATACCAAGCCCTCTTTCAAAAATAATTTGAGACAACTGTATGTGGGTATCTTTTAGGAGATCAGTATATTCTTAAAAGAAACTCAAATACTTTGAGAAATTTGAAGGTCATATTGAGTGAATGGAGTATACACCCCTCATTTATTGACCTTGTTCTTGATGTCTCTTTGTGGCTATTTAACCTGTATGGTATCTGATGGCTAAACTAGGCTAAACTCAGAGTCATTACCAGTGCTATCTGAGATTCTCATTGCTGACAGTGTTCATGTGCAAAGGTAAGTTAACTGTCAGCAGTCAGGAGAGGCCTTACTAAGTGTTGTCACAGAGCCTATCACTTCCCAGATAAGCACAAGCTAACTGTACAGGAGGGAACTTTGCACAAGTTGGGGGTTCATATTTAGGGTTCCAAGGGAGCCTCATCAAAACCACTTTTAAGGCATTGAGAATCCAGGTAAATACCAGGATTACACTGGAGTGGGAGTAAATCTTGGCGAGAGCTTCCCAGGAAGGTGTCCTTTAATCTAGTAGTAATTTTGAAGTTGTGGTTAGATGCTCTCTGGATTAATGAAAACCTTCAAGGGTGTTTTTAGGCAGAGGATAACCCAGTGAAGAGGTATGCTCAGAATATTCATGAATCTTTTGCTGGATGGTTTCAACTGTTTTCCTGAGGCAAGCAAGAATGCTGGATCCTGGGGGCGGGTGGGAGGCATTCCAGGCAGGTATGGAGGGAACCTTGAAATGCTAGTCCTGCTCTGCTCTGAGAAAGTTGGCTGGGGGGGGATTTCTGTTTGCTCCCCATTCTCTTGCTGTCACTTTTACGTATTTTCTTTCTCACTCTTTAGTCTTCCTTTTCTGTACTCCTCCATGTCATCCTCTGGCCACCCTTTCTTTTCTAATGGATTGAATGTTTAATTGGTTCATACTATTTCTCATAGAGTAGTAGAGGTAGAAATTCAAATTCATTGCCTGACTTAATTGTCTAGTTTTCATTTTTTAGATGAGCAGATAAGCAGTAACATGGGGATTTTTTATTAATCTGACAAATACTAGAAGACAAAAAAGTCAAATCATCCATAATTTCATCACCAATTTCATTTTTAATTTACAAAGTAGCAGTGCAAGTCTCTCCCTCCCGGCCCTCTAATCCCATTCCCCAGAGACAGCCACTGTTAACAGTGTAATACAAATTTCCCCTGATTTTTCTCAATATAAGTAGATATATCTGTATATATACTATGTGCATACATATATAAGCATGTGCTGTACACTTTTTTTCCTTAGCACATCTGGATCTGCAATTTACCTACTATATCCTGGTCATCTTTATAAGACAGTGTATATTGATCTCCCTTGATCTTTCTGTGGCTGCACAGACATTTAAATCTTTTCTAGTGTTTCCATTGTTTCAGTATATATTCTTACAGGTTTATCTTTATCGTGCTGTATTACGTCTGTAGAATTGAGTCCTAAAAGTAGTTATTGAGTTAAAAGGTATGCACATTTTAGATTTGAGTAGGTATTACTTAAGTTACTTTCCAAAAAGGGGTGCCCATTTATACCCTCAAAGCAGCACATGAGAGAGCCTGTTTTTCCATTGCTTTTACAGCACTGAATATTAAAGGCTTTTCAATTCCTGCCAGTTTAATAGGGAAGAATGGCACCTGATGGTGTTTAATTGTTTTTATCTGGTTATAGCTTTTCCTATAGAGTTTTACTTTTTAAATTGCCTTATTGGCCTGTAACATGTTTATATTGATTTCACTGTTCCTCTCAAAAGAGCACTTTCATCTTTCTATTTAATGAATATCTATTACATATCTTGGGCTCTCAGGATATTTCATTAGTCCAGCTGTTTATAGAATTCTTTCAAAATAGTTTTAAAATTATTTCTCTTAGTTTCTTTAGAGAACTATTTAAAATGACTACTGTGCATTTCTTTACCTGAATCTTTGTGTCATTAAACACATTTATGTTTGTGTAATATTGATAACCATTATTTCATAGTTTTGCTGCGAATCTTATTTGCAGTTTTTCTCATGCATTTCTTCACTGATGTGCAGAGCATTACTGTATGGTGGAATGCGGGAATCTCAGCCCGAAGCAGAAATCCCTCTCCAAGACACCACTGCAGAAGCCTTCACGATGCTACTTAAATACATCTACACTGGCCGGGCGACACTGACTGACGAGAAGGAGGAGGTGCTACTGGACTTCCTGAGCCTGGCTCATAAATATGGATTTCCAGAGCTGGAGGATTCTACCTCTGAGTACCTCTGCACCATTCTTAACATTCAGAATGTCTGTATGACTTTTGATGTTGCCAGCCTCTACTCGCTCCCCAAGTTAACCTGCATGTGCTGCATGTTTATGGACAGAAATGCGCAGGAGGTGCTCTCAAGTGAAGGCTTCCTCTCCCTTTCTAAGGTGTGTCATGGTCTGGAGTAAGTTACAGGCAGGCATTGTTCTAGTTATGTCTGTACAGTAGAAATATATTAATAGCAGTGGACTCAGAATAAAAAATAAAACTCATAGGTGTAGAAGAGGTTGTCTGCCTCTAGCTGCTGAGACTAGATCGTATAAGAGAGGCCGAGCACTTCTGTTTGCTTTTAAGGTTATTCTGGTAAATTCTATGTGTAAAAGAAACTGTGATGCTGGGTTGTTGTTTTCAATGTGATGACAGTCAAACAGGCTCCTTTGCGGTGCTGCACACTATTTTTTGGTTTTGTATTTCTTTGACAGAGAGTACAGCTAATAATTCTTTACCATGAGAGGGGAAATTCATAAAGGAAATCTGATGCATCACTGGATGTCTTTAAGTTACTGTTTTGTTTTTGGTTTTTGCTGGCTCAAAACTTACTATTATACGGTGTTTTGCACTGTATAATGATAGCTAGAGTAAAACTATTTTGCTCAAATCTTTCTCGGAACCCTTCTTTCCCTTTCGCTGTTCCTCCTAAGACCTGAATATTTTGAGTGAGAACACCTATTTGAAAAGCTACATATTTTGGTTTGAGTTTAAACTACGATTTTTATTGTCCTACTTTATTTTTGGAGGCAAGGGTCTTTCAGGGTTGCTCCAATGTTGCTGGAGGTCAGTCTGAAAATCTAAGAGCCGAAAATACGATAGTGCAGTAATAGTGTGTAACGAAAGATTAGGAATTTTAAATGCCAGATGTATCTTACTGACTTATAAATGCAAACCTCCCTGAAGAGCCTGCGTGGAATGACAGCTCCTCACGTTGCCATTTTTCTTCTTGTTGTTTTATTAAAGATGGGTGCGGATGTGTTGGAAAGACTAGATATTGAATGCCTACAGCTGTTTACACAGCCATAATGTGCAAGAGAGCATATGGCACAAAGAATACAGAAAGAATCTGGTCAAAAAGAGTTAATTGTTTAAATATAACTGATACTTGCAGCTCTGTAAGATTTTACTGATTGATCATGCATGTGGTTGAGCTCCATAATAACTAGAATTTTTCCTTTTTATCATTTTCAGACAGCACTTTTACACATCGTATTAAGAGATTCATTTGCAGCTCCTGAAAAAGATATTTTCCTAGCTTTGTTAAACTGGTGTAAGCACAATTCAAAGGAGAATCATGCTGAAATCATGCAGGCTGTGCGTTTACCTCTGATGAGCCTCACTGAACTCCTGAACGTTGTGAGGCCTTCGGGGCTGTTATCTCCCGATGCCATTCTGGATGCTATTAAAGTTCGATCAGAGAGCCGGGATATGGACCTCAATTACAGAGGCATGCTCAGTGAGTACCTGTCTATCCTCATCTCACCAAGAAATTTGGTTTGCATCTTATGACAGTCTCAACTATAGAGCTATAGTGCAGGTGTTCATGGTACGTGTGGGCCTAAGAACATACACCTCTGCTTCCTGTCCTCCTGTTACTTCCTCCTGAGAACGCATAGCCATTGTAGACCCTAAAACAGGCAGTTCTTGCCTTTCCTGGGCAAATTTCTCCAACAGCTTCCTAGAATGTCAGAAATAGATATTTTCCTGAGAAGCTGTTTCTCATGTGAAGACCTTTCCTCCTTTGTTCCATAAAATCAGTACCAAGTACATGCTATGTACTTATTATTTTATCACCATTAACATGGAGATTCTAAATAATAACAGCTAACACTTATATAGCATTTCCAACACTTATGTGGTGATATTTCTTATTAATAAAAACAATAACAATTAACATTTATAAAGTGTTTATATGTTCCAATAACAATTCTACATGAGCACTTAATTTTCATAGCAATCCTTTGAGGTGGGTACTGTTATTGGTTCCATTTTATAAATGAGTAAACTGAAGCACAGAGAGGTTAAGTAACTTGCCCAAAGTCACACAGAAAATTTCCTGGAGCTGAGAGTCAGACCCATGTAATTAGACTCCAGAGGCTATGTAATTAACCACTAAACTATGCTGTATAAGTGCAAAATATAGCCTCTGCCTTTGCTCCTTTTAATTTCATTGTGGAAATAAAACATACCCCATGAAAAGTTAAATACAACAATGTTCAAGATGGGTACATGCTGTGAATTTCCGAAGAGGGTGCAGCTTGGAATGACTGAGGGAGATTTCCTGGAGATCCTGAAGCTTGGGGTGAGCCTTGGCATCTGATTTAAATGGCATCAGGGTCGGGTGCGTTTCAGGTGAGAAGACTGGTGAGGTTAATGGAGGTTAGAGCATTTGAATGACCATGAACAGAAGAGCTTGCCTAGAGTAGGAGGCTTATTATTAAGGAAGATTGATTAATTGGATTAATAAGTCTGTAAAGATTAGCTCAGGCAAAATCATGGAAGTCTTTGATTGGGATTTTGCCTATGTGCAGTGAAAAGCTGATTTTAGGGAGGGGGAGAGGCATGAGTACAGTGGTGGTTTTGAAAGATTGATCCATGGTGCTGTACTTCATGATTTGGAATAGGGAAAAACTGGATTCAGGGAGGCCAGTGAGGAGGGTATTTAACCTGTGCAGAGTTGGTACAGCCTTACCCTAGAGTGGCGGCATTGAAAATGGAAAATAATGGATATATGGAGGAGATATTATTTTAAAATATTAAATCTTGGTGATTCAGGGGATTTAAATTTAAGAGTTACGTTTAGGAGGTCATTACTTAATTTTATCAAATCTAAGAAACCAGAAATGCTGAGGCACCATTGTTTTATGTACAACTAAGAAAGGAAACAGTATTGCCAATTAAACCATGACACATCATCATGTCTAAATCCCAGTTTCAGAAATGTTAAAATTTGAAAAAATGTGCATCATAGAATTAATGAAATATAATAGTTCTTTTTTTTTTAAAAGATTTTATTGGGGAATTGGGAGAAGGAACAGCGTTGGGGAATCAGGGAAGGGGAACAGACATGTTGCTGTCCTTTTTTTCTTCAGTCTAGTTGTGGAGGACATCGCTTTACTGCCCCATGTTGGTATTGTGATCATTGCACTCTTCCTGGCTGCCAGCCACTCACGGTAGCTCACGGCAGCCCACTGCAGCCCCACTGCAGCCTACGCCGTTGCTGGTGACTCACAGCAGCCCAGTTCCAGGTCGAGCTGTTGTTCACCATCTTAGCTGTAGAGGGCGCAGCATCACTGGCCCTCATGTGGGACCTGAACCTGCTCTAGTGGCCCTGCTGCTCAGAGCTCGCGCTCCCAAGCCAACTCATAACCAACTGAGCCACTTGGCTACCCCTGAAATATAATAGTTCTTTAAAGAAGATCCTGAGCTTATTTTTAGACTTACTTAGTTTGGGGGTTTTTGGGACATCTAAGTTCTTTCTCATGTTAGTCATTTCTCTGAGCAATCTTTTCCTTGACAATGCTTTAGACACTTCTTGAAATACTGATTAATTTTAAACAGGTGCCCAACTCGGACTTCTCTCCTGACTCATAGATTTAGATTTCATTTCTTCATAGAAGAAAAACCTTACGTTTTGGAGCCAGACAAATTTGACTTCAACTCCTGAATTAGTCACTTAGTAGTTATAGGACCTGGTTTTAAATTATATAAGGAATTTTACCTTTAGTTTTATATCTCCTAGTGTTATGAGAATTAATTGAAATAATGCATGCAAAGAATGTGCATAAGCTCAATAGAGGTAACCATTGTCATTATCCTCGTTCTTCCTCATCTGTGTAGGAATTATCACATTGTTTTAAACATTTTTGTTTACTTGTATTTTGTCCTTGAAGGCAGGTTACTGCTGTTTGGGAAGCAGTCAAAGCTGGTGATGAAAGAATTGAAACCTGGGCTAGAGAATAGAGAAGGAAGTAAAGACCACAGTCTGCGATTTAGAGAAGACAGACCTACAGCCAGGGGGCTGAAGGTAGAGAGGGAAGAATTAGAGAGGTAGGAAGAAAGCTGGGACAGGGTTACAGAGGCCAGCAGAGGAGAGAGCTTTCACAGGGCGTGGGTGGTCAGTGGTATCTAGCAATGCTCAGAGGTCAAGAAGAAGGAGAATTGAGAGAAAACTTTTCGATATAAATTAGTGGTGAGTCTGGACAAAAGCTTGGCAAAATTGGGAATTAGGCCATGGGTTTGAAAAGATAGTAAATACAACCATCTGAGGCACTGGAATGACATACTTACTGTAATTATCGCCCATAACTGTTCTTCATTTTGGAATAATTCAGTGGGTGCTCAAGGAAGAGATTATACAAATGTTTGGGACTCTTATCTAACTTCTAAATTTGTAAATAGCAGGCCATTTTTTTGACTTTTTAATTAAAAGAATAGTAAAACAGTAATATAAATACTAAGGAAGCATATCACTTTACCATCAGATCTTAAAGAATAGGTTAGTTATTTTCTAAGTAAATGTTATCCAAACATTTATATCATTATTTCTTTCATCAAATTTCTTTACTGTTAGGAAAAAAAAGTGTTTGACTGTTCCCAGGATGATGATCTGGAAAGATAGTTCTGCTTATTTGAAATTATTGAGCAAATTTGTTTGTTTCTTTGTTTTATCCTGAGAGCCAGCTCTTTGTCTTTGAGGAGTTTTCAGGAAATGTAGTGAGGCTCTTAAGAGTAGGGATTAACATCTTTTTCTAATTCTTTTTCTTTGAGTTCACTAATATTGGTTACTGGAAGGTTTAATTCTTAGAGCTGCATATCCCAAGGCACTAAATTTCAGCGATTTTTCCCCCCTTAAAAAAAAGAGGATCCAAAGACTGTTTTAACTTACCAGTCAAGGTTAGTCTTTCTGGGAAGGTGGCTTAAACCAGTTTTGCACATACGTAATGATGAGCATTTGTCTATAAACCTGGGAAAAGGGAATTACCTTTTAATTATACACACACACACACACCCGTGTGTGTGTGTGTGTGTGTGTGTGTGTGTGTGTGTGTGTGTGTGTGTGTACACCCCCTCTCCCCCTTTAGGGTATTTGAACTACTTGTGCTCAGGCCATTCTCTTAATGCTTAGTTTTGTCTCAACTGTAGAGATCTTTATTTCTGCCTTGAAACTTAGTGCTTTTTCTATTCAGACTGAGTTATACTTTATTTTGCTTATTTCAGGTTTTAGACTTTGGGAAACAGGACAGTAATTTCTTGTTTCTTCATATTTTTAGCAGGGTTTGTATGACAGCTTCCATCTTCAAGATTTCCTTATTGAGTAAAAGTCAGTCTGTTCATAGGACTGCTTAGTTAAATTATTGATTACTATATAAGTGTGTATGTGCGTGTGTATGTGCATATGTGTTTGTGTGTGTATTTAAATCTTTGTTGTAGGTACATTGTAACATGTACTTATTCTTATAGTTGACAGTAGCCCAGACCAAGAAAGCTCGCTGCTGAGATATTACCATTGTTGCTTTGTTTTGTTTTGTTTTTTGCCTAGACTGAGCTTGTTGAGGACTGTAATTATACCTTACAGTGCCTGAATCTAGACTTTTCAAAACAAACGAGTGACTGAATCAATCTATCACTTGCTTCTAAACTAGAATTTAAAATATGTCTCACCTATCACATAAAGACAGTAACAACAATGAGCCTTTAATACTTTTAAAACTTTTTGACTTCTGTTACTATTGTATCTTCCCAACTATAGTTTACAGTAACTTCATCTGTAAGCTGGGGTCTAACAAGTAACCTGCTGAGTATTCCTCCATGGCGGCAGTTCGTGTCTGAAATGCGCTCTTGTCCCCATTTGATGGCAAGCTCCTGGAGGGCTGAGTCTAGCATAGTGACCAGCGTATAGAAGGCAGCTGAGGAATTTTTTCCCCATTAAATTAAATAAATAGGATGGCGGTCCCTTTCAGCTCTTATATGTTTTCATTCTTTAATCTTTATCAGTAACTTGCCTAAAGTTACTGAGTGAAATTGACGCCCAAGCTGGAACCATAGTGCTGATCTGACTCCTGAGGCCTGTGCTGTTTGATAGTCTGCAGCCTGGGTTATTTTCTGTCCCTGTTTTGTGGTGTGTTTGAGCATCAGCACTGTCCAGTAGGGAAAGGAGGCCTGCTGAGAGTGGAGATGACGGGGAAGTTAAGGTAAGACAGGAGTGGTCAAGAAAGTCATATGTAAAGGCCATACGTGTTGGAAGGGAGGACCCATTCATTCTTCAGGGAAGTCGGGTTAGGGAGTGGAAGATGATGTAGGGGACAGAATGGGTAAAAAGATTGCATATGGCAGAGAGCTAAGTGTGAATCCAAACGATCCATCGGGTAAACAACCGTCTCAGCCTACATGTAAGAGAGTTCAATAAAGAATGATTAATAACCCAAAGCAATTAAAGAAAAACACAAGATCATTAACCCAGCAGCACTTAGATTTTGGCATTGTGTAGCTAGCGGCAGGCCCTGCTCCATTTTGCCTTAGTTTTTCTTTCTAATAATTGGCTTGGTTCTGCCTAGCTGTGGAACTTCAAAGCTTCATTTTTTCACTTAATGTGTGGAAAATGCATCAAAAATGACAAATTTAAAGAAAACTATTATTGTTATCTACTATCTCGTTTAATTCCTGCCACCTTATATTTTTTTGCGATCTATTTTCTCTACTGATAAACAAATATAAGCAGTAAGAATATTTATGGTTTGAATTATTTTATTATGACTTGAATTTTCTCATGATCACTTTTTGTCTTAAATTCATCATTTAACTATAGAATTTGCAAAAAATACTTGGAGTTATATTTTTATCCTGTGAGGTACTCAGATTATAGTTACCATAAGAGAATTTCCACTTGTGTAAATGTTCCCCATTTTGAAGTGAAAGATGCTTTCAGGGAATCTGTATCAAGAACAGTTAGAAAAGTTCTCAAGTACTCTTGAAATACATTTCAAAAGATGACTTAGACTTGTGTTAGAAATTTCATTTCCATTTTAGACCTTTAGTTACAGTCACTTGAAACTCTTGTGCCAAGTATGTTATTCCTAGCTTGATAAATTTTAGAGGTGAAGAAGCTTATGTTTAGAGAAAATCAAAAGGTAATGGCAGTTTCTAAATCGGGAAGCTTAAGTTCCCCCTTTTTAGTCTTGATGGTGTGAGAACTGGAGGAGATGGTTTCAGTGGGCAGCTGCAACTGGCTTCGGACCCCCACATCTTATACCCAGCAATAAGGGATTCATGTTTCTTTTTCCAAGTGGTTACACAGCACTGATATCTGAAAAGCACAAATTTGAAGCATGCATGTGTTTGCTTGCTTTATGAAATGCTTTACGTCTATGTTGGAGGCATCAGGAGGGCAGGGCCTAGCTGTCTAGTTCACCAAGGTAGTCCCAGTGCCTCACCTGGTAGCTGATACAGAATGAGTCCACAGTAAATGCCTTTTGACTGATAGAATGCTTTGTTTTATATTTATACAGTACTTTAGCATATATTATTTGCAGTGTAATCCTCACAGTCACTCTGTGGGTGGGTTGGGCAAAGTGTTATGTTTCGATGAGAAATCAGATTGAGAGACTAAGAGGCCTGAGTTTCAGACTTAGGTTTTCTCGTTTGAAGTCTGACTTTTTTTTTTTTTAACTGTATCAAACTGTCTGCTTCTTTCCTCTGGGTCTTAGGTTCCCTTAGAGGGAAGAGGTTAGAAAGAGGGGGAAGTATGTTCTTCCCATCAGAAACCATTCATGAGGTAGGTGGCAGAGCACGGCCCATGGAGACAGGCTGCTTGTGTTCTAACTGCAGCTCTGATACTTGCTGGCTGTATGACCTTAGGTAATAAAGTTCATCTAATCTTTCTCTGCCCCCACTTCCCATCTGCGAAATGGATGTAGTAGTAGGGTTACACTCAAAGGATTTTTATGAGGAGTAGGTCAAAAAGGGATTAATAACGCTTGTTAAATAAATGAAAAATAAATAGGAAGATTATGTATGACTACTGTGAGCTAATAGAATTTAGGAAGTTATAAACCTGTGGCATTTAAGCTTCTGGTGGTAGGAAGTTGGGTGTGACTAGGTTTGGTTTTGTTTTGCTTCTGAGTTGCCTTAGTCTTTTGCAAGTTAACTAAACCCAGCCCAACTGCATTTCAGTTGCATTTATTGTTGTCTTCTGGAGCCATTCTCTTACCTGTTTTCATTTGAATTTGTTTTTTAAATCCACATTTTCTAACAAATCTGCAATGATGAATTACTTACCTGATTTCCCTAAGAGCCTAATTATAGTTCATATTATACTTTCCCCTATTCAAATCATATAACCTAGATGCATACATACTGTGAGAATTCAGTGTTTATTTACAGTGTGTAAACTTGCTTACTTCTCTTATTATTGTGTGCTTTTTAAAATAATAATAATGACAGTCTTATTTTTAGAGCTTACTGTGTGCTTTGTAAACATCATGACATTTCATCCTTAAAACAAAACAAAACAAAACACAAACGAAACACCTGGGAGATAGATATTGCCCTGTTGAGAAATTTCAGTTCAGAGAAGTAACTTCCCAAAAGTGATACACTTGATTAAAGGTGGAGCTATTTAAACTCCTTGAAGCTCAGGCTCTTAACATCTATTTTATATTGTCTCTGGTGTCTCCATGGAGAGTATCGAGTTTAGAATGTTAGTACACAGAGGACAGGGACCAGATCTGTGAAGCAAAATTTGCATAGAGGATTTTAGAGCCTCTGTGACAATTGGCCTTAATAAATCTACTGCTGGAGAGGGGAGGGTGTTTAATTATAACCATAATATTGATTTTGATGACTGTCTGAATTTTCATTTTTAAAAATACTCAAGTGAAGTAAAAATATATCTTTACACATATTTTTGGTTTTTAGCTAGATTAATTGATTTAGCACATCCATGTATGACCAGCAGCTCTGCTATATTGGAACCTTTCTTTTTCTGATGTTTTATCACATGTCTGACGTGTCTGCTTTGCCTGTGTACATTGTGCTCCATCCAGGTGGCAGGTATAGGTCATATTATATGTTGTTTTTTTCCCCAGTAGGTATTAAATTAAAGCTGCTAATAGAAGGAACTCAGCAGAACTGATTTGTTTGTGCTAGTATGTGTTTTTTCTAGCGTTACCAACTTTTTCTTAATAACATTACCCCCAAACACTTAGTGTCTGTGATGGTATTGTTAAATTTAAACTGTGGGTGGTATCTTAATCCCTGTAGACATTCCACCTCTTCTCTCTCCATAGACTTGTCTGTCATTTTAAAGTTATTGGGTTGTCGGAAAAGTCATGATGTATTTTTCCTGTTTTTCGTTGCAAAAATGCGTCATGACTTTTCCGACAACCCAATAGATGCACATACTAGAATGAACTAGAATACTAGAATTTTATATTTTTCCTCAGAATATAGAATAATTTACTAAGTAACCATTAACCTTGTTTTTTCTATTTTTAACTGTAGTACCGGAAGAAAACATTGCGACTATGAAGTATGGAGCCCAAGTTGTGAAAGGGGAGCTGAAATCTGCCTTACTAGATGGTGATACTCAAAATTATGATTTGGACCATGGGTTTTCTAGGCATCCAATTGATGACGACTGCCGTTCTGGCATCGAGATTAAACTAGGTCAGCCATCCATTATCAACCACATACGGATACTCCTGTGGGACCGAGATAGCCGGTGAGTCATTCGCGTGACTTGGAGAGAAACTGACATTGTCTTTGATTGAAGATGGCCTAACTTTGTGGTCATCTACTTGGGTTTTACAGATTTGATGGTTTATTTCTTTGTGATCACTTGGGTATTTCTCTTGAAGTTTAGGTCTGGGGGAAGAGTTAAAGGGTATATTCCCTTAAAAAAATATTTTTTTTCTTTTTCTGCTTATAAAAGTAATGAAAATGTGTTTATTGTGGAAAATGTGGAAAATATAGAAAAGCACAAATAAAATTGCCAGTAATCTCACCACCCATTATAATCTTAGTATATATCTAATGGGTGTTTTTTGTTATCCATAGTATTTGATACACATCTGCACCTGTGCGCAAAACCAGAAAGCTGTAAAACCACATATAGTTTTACAAAATAAAGATTAGATGTGTAAAAAGCTAACTTCACTTGTAAATTAATACATTGTGAATATTCTACCCTTTAAAAAATATTCCTCCACAATGTTACTTCTCATTGTTGTCTGGTATTCCACCATGTGGGTTCCCATTATTTATTGACTTGATTCCTTCCTTTTGGATATTGCAGCAACTTTTAAAATGAATTTTTTCTTATGGGTGAAGAAAAAAATGTTTTTTGGTGTGTGAATAAATATCCTCAAAACAAAAGAAATGTGTGAAAACAATTTGGTGGGCTTCAGCCTAGGAATCCACTCACTTCTGCAGTATCTTCAAGATTCTGCTTCCCTTCTAGCCATTCTGATGCTTTCACCCACTGTAGTTTCTGGAGTTCAGCCATGATGGGTGAAGTACCAGCGCAGTATGACCAGGCACGAACTCTCTCATGGTTGCTTATCATTAGCCTAAACCCTGCGTACTAAGAAACTGATATACAGAGTCTCCTAGGCTGTACTTAATGCCTCTTTGAGTCAGGACATGAAGAGCTTAATGGTATTGGTGATGATACCCTGCAAATCTTCCAAGGTAGTTCATTTCTCGTGTTAGCACCACTGGCCACCACTGTGGCCTTTTAGATCATTTGAACCAAGTCTGAAGTGGGAGTCAGCATTTCCTGTGCACTGGTCTTTGAGGTCACCAGGTTCTCTCTGTTTCTCTTTTATTAAGAATATATTTTCTGATATATTCTGATATATATCTTGTTGGATATAATATGTTTAGTTGGCAAAATGGAATTAATTCACATATCTTTTCTAAGAGTATGATTAATAATACTCTAATAATACTCATACAGCAGTTTTATGTGATGTGCACTGTTCTAAAATCTTTACATATATGAACTCTTAATTAATATGAAATTAGTAAAAAAAAATAATAAAAGAAAAGGTTAGTATGTTTGAAACTGAAAGTAGTTATCATCATTTCCATGATGTTAAATATTTATAGGCCACTTTGTTTTAGTATGTGCATTACATTCACAGGGGACTTAAGTTTACCACATTGCAGTTCTTTCTCACAGATGTTGTTATCATTCTAAGCAAAGGTGAAAAATTCAGAATCTTAAGCCAAAAAGATTCTGACATGTGTTGTAAAATTATATCCTGCATTACTGATAACCCAGAGAGGTTCAATAAAAGGTTATAACCAGTTTGAGACTGAGCGATAAAATGAATGGGAGTGAGAGGACAGCAGAAAATGAGGGGATGACACAAAATAAGCTGACCTTTTCTGGTCACAACTGTTGGTTGCAGGCTGACATTTATGGCCACCTAAATCTTCTGAGATTGTTCCTGTTGATATTACAGTACAAGTAATAACTGCATCTCAAATTTAAATTTGGCTTTTGACAAGGGAATGTAGATTTGTTCAGTATGGGACCAGCATGTAATGGTCCAGGGTAGCTGACTAGGGGAGGATGATAGGCTATTTTCATTACTGCCAGATTATTAGCTGGTATATTTTAAGATGTGCCCAAAAGCAACACGTATTATCTCTTCAGCCATGTCATTTATTTTTCTGCAGGCTGAATGTATGTGTGGGATGGTAGGAGGCTGGGAGGGAATGGGAGATAAGCTGGCCTCTGTGGGGAACCATTTGAGCTGGCTTTCCTCCTGAGAGTATGCGGCTGAGCTCCCAGGCCAGGGAAGGGAGAGGGAGAAAGCACACCCACTTCTATTTTTCTGTCCTCCCTTTGTCATGGCTTTATTAGTCTGCTAGTATGGTATGAGCAAGGCATCCTGGCCCTGTTTGAAAAGGAACAAATGTCTTGCATGCCTGACGTGTGCTAAGCACCGTGCTAGACCCTGGATATATGAAGATAAGCATGGCATGGTCTTTGTTCCTCAGCAGTTTGTGACCTAATAAGACAAACAGACATGCTGAGAGAGAATGTCAATACATTGTGGTGAACTACAACAGATTTCATCATATCTGAATTTGATTGTTATGCAGAAAATGTAATTCCTGAATAGTGTATTTGTTTTTTGCCTTTTAACATTTTATTAAAGTATAACTTTGTATTGTTATTTTAACATGGTACTTTTTTCTGCTTTTTTCCTTTTGATTCATAGGTCTTATTCATACTTCATTGAAGTGTCGATGGATGAACTTGATTGGATCAGAGTGATTGATCATTCACAATATCTGTGTCGGTCTTGGCAAAAGCTATATTTCCCAGCCCGTGTCTGCAGGTTAGTTCTCATGGCTAATAAATGATTTCAATGTTTATTTAAGGAGATTTGGACTTTGAGAAACAGACTACGTTTTTCTGTCTCACGGAAGAAAAGTTTTTCAGAGTATCAGCTTACCAAATGCATCCCAATTAAAAACTTATGGAAACTATGGAAAATTAAGCATCTTAATATTTAGAGTGAACTGTGGAGCTGTTTGTCCAAAGTGTTTTGTACCATATATATGTAGTAGACATGTACAAGAGTAAGAAGGGACGGGGAACAGTGAGAAGTGGAAATGCTTTTTCTATTGCCTGCTGTACCTAAAAGCAGTGTTATTATTAGAGGGTGCGTTCTTCCCACAGAAACCATAAGAGGTATTTCTGGAGGCCTCCCTGGCAATCCTCAGGGCCAGGAGGAGACTTTCGGATGCCAGCGTGCATGTTCTGAATATCTGTGATCTTTTTCTAGGTCAGTGGATATCAGTGGAATTTGACAGAGCAAGTGTTCCTAGTGGGGCTGAGTTTGGGGCAAGGGAGGCTGAGCTGGTGGGGCTCAAGGCTCTCACCCTTTCTTCAGTCAGAGCACCTTAGCAACTTTATTGTTGTTCTGTATTGCAGCCCCAAGTTAGTTTGGCTTTTAAAAGTATTGATAAGCTGCTGTTCTAATATTTCATATTCTTCCTTTAGATATAAGCCTAAATTTCTTTCTTAAATTCTATAAAACCTATAATGAATCTGGGAGTTGGGAAAGGTGGTTAACCCTTCCTCAAATTCTATTGTGTTTTTTTCTGTTGTAATTTTCCCCTTGGACATTACCTTCAGATATTCTTTACCTCAGAGTCAAAGGATCCAAGGCAGAAAGTGATTGATTCATTTAGTTAGGTGTGGCAAGAAGAGAAGGTATTAACCAGGGGGAATGTGGAAATGACCCTTTATCCAATTCCCTCCTCATGTTCACCTGTGACCTTGACTGACCTCCCACTGTGGCTGACTTGGAGCAGATGGGGTGCCCCATAGCACTTACCCTCTTGGTCAGAAGACACCCTTATACTTATTAAACTCATGATCTATCATCATCAGGCTGAACTCTTACTTCCACCACAAGAACTCCACAAAACCTTTCAGCCTCTGATACAGTAAAGAATGTTGTCTACATTTTTTTATTATGGGTATGACCAGATATAATATTGTTACCCAGGGATCCTCTTGTGTGAAAATGAAGAAAATCAATTTCATTTCCCCAAAGGGGGACTAAAGTGTCTGAGGTCTGGCAGTTGCTCTTTTATCAGAGGAGTTTTGAATGGATTAAAATGAGAGGGACCAGAAATTGAGTGAAGATTGTGTACCTCAGAGCTGCCTAGGGATACTCTGATGGTGACAGAGGGGCCCTGGTGTGGAGGAGGTGATTGAGTCTGCATCGACTGTGTTTATTATTGTGGTATTGGATTAAAAAATAAGCAACATAACAACCAAAGCGTCTGATGTGGACCAAAGGACTGTGTGTTTGTATTTAATTGGAAACAATAGGAACATGACTCCCAGAACAAATCATCGTGACTTGTAATACCAGCCATGACAGAGTCTGTGTGCTTTACCCACCTTAAAACCACCGTTGTATGGAGGGAGATGCATGCCCTCAGTTATGGTCTCTGGCTTTCAGAAAGCTCACTTCCCCTTATTTATTAATAGGCATCGTTGATACTCCCTTTTCCTTATTTTGTCTCTCCTGTGTGGCCTTGCCTTTGTGGGTGTAGCTTTTATATATCATAGAGCCTGGCTGCATTCATGATGCTAGTTTTTGTCTTAGTATAGCCAGCTCCCAACTCTGGTCAAGAAAAACTGAGAAAAGATGATATTAGAGATAGTAATAACAAGAAAAAGAAGGAGTCTCAGTATTCATATTAGTAAAAAAGTTTTTTTAAATTTATAACCCCTTTAATGTGTTATATTAATTCCTACATTCCTTCGTAAACTCTGCCTTTTGTAATAGGTCGGAATTTTGGTAGTATTTAAAATGAATCTAAGAACAAGTCCCTATTGATTACCCAAGGATGTCTTGGTGTTTCTTATCTTCACAATCATTTAATTGACTACCTAAACAATGTTCTAAATACACTTCTTTCAGGAACTGCACTGGCACATATACATTTTTTATTTCCTTAGCACATAAGTGTTCAGTTTGCATTATGTTAGTTAATTTGCACATTTGTATGTCACCTTTGTTCTTCAGTGTGCTTCGCGTGTCTGTCTTGCCTCTGATAACAAAATTACAAGCTCTTGGAAGCAAAGAGTATGGATTCTAATCTTTTATATTCTCTCATAGTACTCAGGCTATGACCTTATACACAGTAGGTACTCTGTAAATGTTACCACAGATTTCATGGGGTCAAGGCACTGATTGAGTAATGAAGAGAGATTGATTCAACATTAATATGTACATATATTCATTACTACTTTTTATCCATGTATTTGCTAAAATGTGTATCAATGCTGGAAAACTCTCTGGAGTGGGAAGTTGTTTTTTACTGTTTGCAAAGGTTACTTTCTGGTTTTCTTCTTCAGGAAACTGAACTTTAAGGTTCATCCTGAAGGATGTGAGTGTCATGAATTGATGAAAGATTACATCAGATATATTCACTAAAGGGAGAGGTACTCTGTGAATTGGGGAGTGTGAGATTCCCCAGCCCTCTCTCTGAGTCGAGGCTGGACTGCATGTAAATCAGTATCGTGTAGTGGAAAAACCATGGGCTGGGGGATTAGATAGAGCTTTTCTCGAGTATCAACTTCATCTAATTCTACTGGCGTTGTGATCTTAGTAAAGTGTGCCTCTCCGAGCCCTCGTTTCTATTCCAGTAAAAAACTGGAATAACAACCCCCTTCATGGGTCTGCAGTGGAGGGTTAGATGGTGTAGCACACATGAGTACTGAGCACAGTGCCTGGCCCAAAGTAGGCCCAGTAAGTAGTTGTTTTTTTTATTTTTTGTTCTTATTAAAATTTTTTTCTTAAACTTTTTTTTCCCCCTAATTTCTGAGACTCTCAATTGATATTTGACCTTGGGAAAAGAGAGTCATCCCTGCTATCCTCTTTGGCCACAGTGGCCCTCACTATGAGGAAATGGTTCCTTACCTCGGAAGCCTAGTCTTTTCCACATCGTGTCCATATTGTCAGTCCATATATAGCAATCCAAAACATGTGTTAAACGGGTCTCTTTATCTTAATTTGTGTGTTTCCAACAGTTTTCCGAATTTGGTTTTGGTAAAGCATTTTTTATTGTGATAAAATACATAAAAATTTTCATTCATGTATCTTGTAGAATGTAATTCAGTCAGCATTTCACCTCGCCAAAGTAGTAGACGTTATCTAGTGGCAAGAAGGATATTGCCAGACTCCAAAGCCAGAGTCATCGTTTGAACCATAGTAATGAATGGAGGGAGGTGATCTGCTCTGTCTTTCTGGGTCATTTTCAGGAATGCATTGTGGGTAAAGTGGGGACTGCTCTGTGTAGCCCAAAGCTTAGACTAATAATCCCCCCAATCCCCAACTGGGGATGAAGAAAAGCCACTTGTCAATTTTGGCACAATCTTTCATATGCACTCATGTTGTCTTATCAGCTTTCTCTTTCTCAGGAAAAGGCAATTTCTGCTTTACCCATAAATTCTCTAACCTTTACGTTGTCTTCTTGGCTATCTAGTAAGCGCTCATCAAGTCCTTCCACAGCTTTCTTAGATGGTGGAGACGAGGACTGAACAAGAAAACACTAACAAGGAGTGTTAGATATTGAGTGCCCTGGGGGGTTTAATTTTTTTTTTTCCTGGCTGTTTCTCAGCATGGTGCTGGTAATTTGGCAGCCATATAATGTTGCTGAACTATGAGAGGACTTGAAAACATGGGTGTGAAAGGTAGTAGGTTTCAGAGCCTGTATGTGGCTGGTAACTGGAATTACAAAAGTGATCTTGTAAAACCTGGGAGTTGAGCCTCAAAGCAAAGTCCTCAGAGATATACCTATTGAGAGAGGGAAGAAAAGAGTAGGTGGCAGACATGTTTACTGCAGGGACTGTTAGAGCTACTAGAGGAGGGTCAGGTGGAGCAGAGTTTACTGACGACAAGGCCAGGAAGGGCATTTGAGAAGGGTGCTACTTGACAATTTAGAACATGGCACAGAGGGGATAAACTCAACACAAAACTAACTGGGCTTTCTTTCCTTTTGTTTGTCATTATCAAAATGGAAATGTCTCTTTTGATGTTTTTATTATAAAATTATAATGTACGTATTTTAAATATGGATAAAGCTTGCTGTTTGGCAAGGTTATACCCCATTTCTACCAATAGCACATAAAAATGCCCCTTTTCCAACAGGCAAATAATTGTCAACATGATTTATGATTTGTAAAAAATGTCTTATTTTAATTTGGATTTCTTTTATCAGTGAGGTAGAGTATCTTTTAATACTGGCCATTTGTTATTTCTCATTTATGAAAAGCCTATTTTTGTCTTCCACATATCTTTCTTCTGGGATGATTCTCTTTTTGTTTTGGGCTTCTGAGAACTTTATATTGGTATATTGGTATATACACATTGATTATATACATAATGTCATATGTATGTGTACATAGAAACACATAGTAGATGAATTTGTGTGTGTGTGTGTGTGTGTGTGTGTGGCATTATCCTCTTGCCTGCCATGTATTGTGCAATTTGTTATTAGTTTTTTATGTTTTATTGGTACTTTTTGCTATACAGGATTTTATTTTTTTTAAAATGTCAAATCTGTCAGTCCCTTTTATGATTTCTGGTGGTCTGGTATCATGCTTAGAAAGGTGTTCTTCACTCTAACATTAAAGAATGTTATATTGTAGTAAGTTTTTTTCTATTACTTGTGATTTTTATATCTAAATAATTAATCCAGCTAGAATATTTTTTGTATATATTTTCAGGCAGGGGTAGTCAGTTGACTAAGACCATTTATTGGATTGTCGGAAAAGTCATGACGCATTTTTGCAACGAAAAACGTAGAAAAA